TCTCAAAATCTCCTTTGGGCAATAACGAATGTCTTTCATCCCAAGATGACCCATTAGAATTTCTGACACCTACAAATATCACTTATTTATATTGAAGCCAGTATCTACTTCCTTATGTCTACCCATCAGTTCATTTTCCATCAAATGAAATTTTCAAAAATTTAAGAAATAATCTACAGACTTTTTAAATGTATAACAAACTGTTTTTCTTCACCCAAGGTCATTTTGCTGAGGAGGATTTGCCCTGAGCTAACATCTGTGCCAGTCTTCCTCTATTTTGTATGTGGGTCACTGCCACAGCATGGCCGCCAATGAGTGGTGTAGGTCCACACCTGGGAACCAAATGCGGGCTGCCGAAGCAGAGTGCGCCAAACTGAACCAGTAGGCCATGTGGCCAGACCACCCTAAGGTCACTTTTAAAGTTAAATCTTTTATAGAAAATATCTATTTTCCTTATAGTATATTTTTTCCTTCTCTAGTTGAATCCTTAAAATGTCCCCCATAGATCTTATGTCTAGGCATTTAATAATGTTTTCCTTCTTCTGTAAACCATCTCTTCATATCAAGTACTACTCTAGTAAGAGCCAGACCTTATATTCAGAACCACCAGTAATTGCTGAGGTTTCCTCTCCTCTAGATAACCAGGTTTCCCTTCACAAGCTTTGTCAATCACAGTTTCACTCACATGACCCTTACGTGCTCCATGCAGGTGTAGAGGACATTTTCTGGGCTCAAGGCACCTTCCTGGAGCTTCTCACTCAGTTCCAGCAGTGACAGAGAGAGGATGGACTCAGTCTGGATATCTGCATGCTAGAGGAAAATGAAAAAATAGGATGAGACATTACAGTGGAGGAAGCAATCATTCACTAGTCCACCAAATATTAAATCTTTGCTAAATAAATATTAAGTATAAAACATTAAGGTTTATATTTTGTGGGAATACCAAGGAAAGATAGGCCCCTTCCCTCAAGGACTTTGCAATCTATTGTCAGAAAAACATGTACACTTTCACAGATAAAATATATTAATGTGTGTTTTTCTAAGCCAAATAGGAAAAACAAGGAGTATATATAGAAGTATATACTTTTAAGTAGATAAGTAATAATAAACTAATTAGTAGTCATTCATAATGCATAGGTTAAGGAGTAATATAGAGAGGAAAAATTCCAAATGAAGTCATTGTTTGTTATTAGCTTCTTTTGAACCCCAAATGCTCTGTGGAACCCCTTGAGCTGGGCATATGTAGTCAGGCCTCCTTGGTGAAATTGCTTCCTTAGACACTCCTTCCCAGCATCCTCCCGGCTCTTGAGCCTCAATATTTTACTTCATGGAAGGCAAGAAGTGTCAGAGTGGCAAATCCTAGAAAGACACGTTTCTTCCTAAGGCCCAGCACAGTCTTTTTTGTTTCTTGTTTTAAATTTAATATGTAATCACTTTACTTCAACGATCTGTCAACAGTAACACTGATATATTTTGCAAATATACAATACAGAGTGTGGCCTCACATGACTGCTGTCAAATGACATGCCGTACAATTTCGACTTTTCCTTGTCACAACAGCATCCTTTAAACTGCAAGACAGGGCCGGCCAGGTGGCAGAGCGGTCAAGTGCGTGCGCTCAGCTGTGGCGGCCCAGGGTTCGAAGGTTTGGATTCCCGGGTGGTGCCCTTGACAAGTGCACCAACACACCACTTGTCAAGCCATGCTGTGGCGGCATCCCATATAAAGTAGAGGAAGATGGGCACAGATGTTAGCCCAGGGCCAATCTTCCTCAGCTAAAAGAGGAGAATTGGCAACAGATGTTAGCTGAGGGCTGATCTTCCCCACAAACAACCAACCAAACAAACTGCAAGACAGAGAATGCCTTCCCAGGGCCAGAAAACCCTCCAAAGTGAAGAATGAGAAAGGGGAAGCCTAAACTTTCCTCTAAGAGTCGAATGTGCCACTTACATATACCAGAGAGTCATTGTCAGAAACGTACATTGTATGATATTATGTTAAAATAGATACAGGTGACACTAAAATGATCAATACTAGGTAAGACAAGTTGCATTCCAGTTACTAAGGGAAAAAATGTTTTAAAGATTCTATGGCACCAATTACAAATGCGTTATCAATAATACTAATAACCAGTGTTATACAGCCATGTCATAATTACTTTAGAAACTTTTATGCATATATAGTTGTTCTATATATGCATAAATCCAAAGGAAGCAAAAGTCCAAAGGAAATTGATTAACTACGGCTGGAGGGATGTAGCATTAATATCAGTAAGTTAAAAAAATTTTCCTGGGGCCGGCCCTGTGGCATAGCGGTTAAGTGTGCATGCTCCACCGCTGGCGGCCAGGGTTGGGATCCCAGACGCGCACCGATGCACCGCTTGTCAGGCCATACTGTGGCGGTGTCCCATGTAAAGCAGAGGAAAATGGGCACAGATGTTAGCCCAGGGCCAGTCTTCCTCAGCAAAAAGAGGAGGATTGGCATGGATGTTAGCTCAGGGCGATCTTCCTCACAAAAAAAAAAGGAAAGAAAAGAAAAGAAAATTCCTATAAAGAAAATAACTAGCAAATGAACTCTAGAAAAACTGGATGCTATTGAGGTCTATTTATAAAGAGCCCTACTCATTGTTAAGGGTGAAAAGATCCAAGAATCTTCTTTCCAGCTCTAATTCCTCATTGCCACTTTAAGCGAGTTGCTATTATTGACAAATCCACATTTATTTCTATACATGTTCCCCAGTTTCCTCTATATGTCAAATATTTATATGATGAAGTAATTATGAAATCAGTAACATTGGTACATTTAGATAGAGGTGGAATTACAAATAGACAGCAGGTCATATTTAATACACAGGATTTCAAGAGCTTCAGACAGACCTTTTGATTTAACAATGGAACTTCAGACAACTTGCAATATTTAAAGTTCCACAATGTAATATAAATTCTTTAAGTAGTCATCCTCTGGTAAAATACAGATGCCTCTAGAGACAAGTCCCTTAAACTTAATGAATCACTTATTCCTCAGTGTTAATAGGGGTAGTAATTTCTGCCAAACAAATTTAAGTATAGGAGAATAGAAAGAGCGTCAATGAGTGTCTGGGAATGGCATTCCGAGGATCCCAGGAAAATAGAGGGATTTAAGGGCACAAAGAGCGAGCAGTGGTGCTCCAAAACGAGCTGTACTTATATCAAACTCCAGGGTGATGCTGTTAAAAAATAACATAATTTCCCAGCTACCCTTGTGCAAACATAACAAAGGCCTAGCAGAGGATGAACATTTACTGGAGGAAAAAAAATTCTATAGCTTTCTTAATCTTCTACATCAAAACTAAATAAGAAATATCTTGGGGTATAAGTAATTCCTCATAGGTATCATTCCTTTTTTCCCTAGTATTTTTACCTTGTAGGCTTTATACTTCTTGTCTAATCTTCTTACTTCTTAATTTTTATAATGAAACCCTATCCATAAAACAACTTATTATTTCCAGATGAACGTCTAAAGGTCATAGGGACTTAATAATTGACTAACGGGATTCCAGTATGGCTTCTTTTCTTCCATCTGTACAGTGACCTACCTCGTAAACTGCCAGATAGAGGCCATAGCTGGCCTGTATCCCGTGTCAGCATAACTTGTTATTACTGGCACTTTATCCTGTAGTGAAAGAGAAAAGGAGAAGGAAGGGATTTCTTGAGATTTCAGGTTCAAGTTTCCACAAGAGAAAATAATCTTTATTAAGATATTTCTAAAATATGGGAGCCATTAAAAGATTCTCCTCTATTTCTATTCACTTACATTGGAACTGAAGTAAACAAAGTTAATGAGGTCTATATTCTGATTATGAGCACAGGATCTAGAGTCAGACAAGTTGAACTTGTCAGCCTGAAGCTTGTCACTCACAATCTGAATGACTTTTAGCAAGTTACTTAACCTCCCTGAGCCCCAGTTTTATTGACTGAAATAAGGGACTTATGTTAATATCTACCTCATAGGTTGTTGTATCAAATTAAATTATATATATATGTGCAAATATATATATATGTGTGTGTACATATATATACTGCATGGCCCTAGGAACCACCTCATGGCAGGCAGAATTCTAAGATGACCCCCAGTGACTCTCATCCTTGTATAATCCTCTCCTCTTGAATGTGAGCAGAACCTGTAAATATTATGAGATGTTATTCCCAAGACTGTGTTAAGCTACATGGCAAAAGATTTTGCAGATGTAATTAAAGTTACTAATTACTAATTTAAACTTTAACTTGAGGGTTAATCGAAAGGGAAATTATCCAGGTGGGGCTGACCTGATAATGAGTCCTTTAAATCTGGATCTAGAGGTCATAGTGGAAATTAAAGATTTGAAGTCAGAGAGATGCACTCCTGCTACCCGGGAATGGCCTATGGGAGCCAGGTGGCAAACAACTGCACTGCAAGCAGCCTCTAGGAGGTGAGAGCATTCCCCAGCTCACAGCTAGCAAGAAAACAGGGACCTCAATCCTATGACTGCAAGAAACTCAACTATTTCAACAACCAGAATGAGCTCGGAAGAGGATTCTTCCTCAGAGCATCCAGATGAGAACTCAGCCCAACCAACACTTTGATTTCAGCCTTAGAAAACCCTGAGCAGAGAACTCAGTAATGCAGCACCCAGACCTCTGATGTATAGAACTTTGAGCTAATAAATGGATATAGTTTGCACTGCTAAGTTTATGGTGTCTTTAAACACAGCAATGAAAGCTAATACACACCCAATATGTGTACAATTAAAACAAAGCTACCTCTCCAAAATTATCCATCAATCGATTGCTTTAATATTTAGTGCACCGGTTCTCAAACTAAAGTAAAAAAGAAAAAAAAAATTGCCTAGGCAATCTGAAGATGCAGATTTTTAGGCTATGCCCCCAGAGATTATGATTCAGGAAGTCAACGCAGAAGTAATCTGGAGTTTTAGCTAGCATTATTTTTTTGTTGTTGTTAATGTTAATAAGAATCATTTAATTAAATGCCTGCAAACAGGGAAGAGAAAAATGATTTATATGGAGCTAATCAAGGAAGAGAAATATAAAATTTACAATAAACTTGACCAGTTTTAGAATTACTGAACAATGAACTAGTCCATAAAGCATATAAGACAAATGAACATTTTTTCCAATAATTTATTATCCAAGTCTAGGGGAATCATAAAACATATATTAACTCCATTAATTTAGACAAAGCAAATATTTTAATAACTATAGGAAACCACATTAAATACTTTACCATATTAAGATTAAGAAAAATGGCAACCTCATTTTTAAGATAAAAATAAAATTTCCATTAAGGGAAACAAAACGGTCATTTCAGCTAGGATTCCTGACGACTAGCAGCAAGTGGTAAAGGAGTCACTTGTTTGTTTGGTAAATGCTGATCCGGTGATCATTTTTTCTGAAGTACATAGAAGCCACCTTCCCAAGGCTAACTATCTGTACTCTAGCTATATTGGCTGTCTTTCACTTTCTGGACTATCCTAGACTTTATTCTACCTCAGGGCCTTTGCCCATGCTCTGCCTGGAATGATTTTCCTCCACTACTCGCATTAATTCTATGACACCCTCCAACCACTAAATGTCCCATCTACTTATCTTCTACATCTTCTTTGAGTCTTTCCTCAAGCATCACTTCTCCAGAAGAGCCCTCTCGGACTCCCTAGACTATATCAGTCTCCCCACTGTTAATATGAGCTTGAAAGCCTCTCTCATTCCCTCATGCTTTACTACGATTTGCATCTATAGATTTATTATGTGATTGTTTGAATAGTATCTGTCTCTCTCTCAAAACTAAGCTCCATTAAGCAGGAACTGTGTTGGTTTTGCTCAGCCTGTACACCTAGAAGCTCCTGCACTGTCTGACCAAAGAAAGTGCTACACAAACGTTTGCTGAATGAGTAAATGATTGAATGGACATATAAGCTCGAAACGCACCTTATGCTTGAAGTGGCGCACTGCAGACTTCATCTCCTCCAGCAAACGTGCTCTCTGCTCCTGGGCCTTGGCAATCTTCTTCCGAAGTTGTCTCCTTAAGAGCCATTTCCGCAGCAGGATGCCAGCTCCACAGCCACAGAGGATAGCTGTAATGACTCGGCCATCCAGTTTCATGGTGGGCAAGAGCTGTGTCAGCCTTTCATACCCCAACATATCCTGAATCCTTTGCATGTTTCAGGGGGACACAGGATTTGCCAGAGAATAGAGCACCTTCTGGGGACGAGAACTCTCTCCCAACACTAAGGTTATTTCTTAGTTGGTCAATCATTTACCCTTGCTACAAACTAGAAGGGTGAGACTTCTGTCCCACACCAACCTGGACGCAAACATTCTTCCTGTCCTGAACACACAGTGTTAGTTTTCCCGGGGCATGCTCTGGAGCCCCATTTCTTCCTTTTCTTCTTCCAAAAAGTTTACTCACCTGACCAGCGGCCATTTCTCCAACGCTTCATCCTCTCCCTTTCCTTCTAAAACACTGCACTCTTATTTTTTTGCATTGATTTCAGCTGTTAGGCTTCCCTCCTGTCACGCCTTTTCAGGTGCCACCATGATCTTCTTAGAAACATAATGAAATCAGCTGATTCTGAGGAGATTTTTGGGTGAAATCAGCAGGAGATAATTAGTTGCCAAGAGCAGTATGAACACAGCCACGCCACGGCTCTAAGCACAGCTCTCGGCTTTGGCTTGGCTCAGGAAGTAAACAAAAAATCAAATTTTATCTTAGATTTAGGACAAAATGACACCTCGGAAGATATGAGGAAATATTGTTTTTACTACCAAAATTCTGTCATCCCTCCCATGAAATAGAAAATGAGAATGTCGCGTTGCATAGATGCAATTGAAACTTAAAGTTACAATGAAATGGTTCATATTTCTAAGCGTTAAAAATGTCCTGGTCTCCTGGTCCATTCCATGAATTTAGGAATTCATCCCAAGAAAATAATCTATAATAGCCCCAAATATTTCCATAGCAGAGTGTTCATCACTGTTGCCTCTAAGCAAAGACTTGGGAAGTAACCTAAATGTCCTCAACTGAGTAAGGGTTAAAAAATATCAAAATCTGTATTCTAAAATATTTTGTGATTATGTAATTATTCTTTATGAAGACATTTAAGAACATGAGGATTGAATATAATGTGTGAAGTTTTAAAATGTTGGTCATAGAGCAGTATATGTTGTATTATCCCAATTTTGTAAAATAAAAACACATACATGTGTTTTTGACACACATGTAAGACAAAGAGAGAGAAAATAGAAAGGAGAGAGAGGAGAGGAAGAGAAAGAAAGAAAGAGAAAGAAATATTCTTTCAAAGCAAATACCCAGCATTTTCATCGTACTTTGGTGAGTAGCAAATTCTCCCATGGAAACCAATTGTTGGAAACTTAATGTTTAAGTAAAGATTAAGAAATTTTCTTTATGAAGAATAAGGCACTAAAGCAACAAGCAGATATCCTGGTGGAAACTGTATAAACAGTTGAGGAGCAGCAACTTGGGTGAAGAAAAATTAAATGTTGACTTGAACTGTACTAAAGGATGCCACAAATTTTTTACTGAGTAGAAACTGAAAGTTTCTACAATTTAATAAAAACTGTACTATTTAATATCATGATTTTTTCATAAATATTGGTGTATAGATTGATAACTTGGAAAAATGTATAAGCACGCAATTCTCCTGCCAGAGACTGGATTTGAACAAAAACCTTTTCGTTATTGTAAAGACCTAAGATGAAGAATCATTTTAAGACTTAACGGTGGTTCTCAAACTTTCACATGCATCAGAATCACCCAGAGGGCTTGTCAAAATACAGATAACTTGTCTTCTCCCCCAGCATTTTTGATTCAGTAGGTCTGGCGTGGGGGCTGAGAATTTTCATTTCTAACAAGTTCCTGGGCAATGCTGATGCAGCGGATCTGATGTGTGGTGTTGTGTCGCTGTATAGATTTGAGCTGGGGAACCACAGTTTTGACATGGTCACTGCGATCCTGAGCCACTTTCTCTTCTACTACATCAAGGAACAAAACATCATAGAAAAGGCACTCAACTTGACATCAAAAGACAAAAATCTGCGTCCTGGTTTGACTGTCTGCAGAATGCAAAACAAAATCCCTTAGTACTTTGAATTCATCTTTCCATATCTATATTAATTGGAGTAATAACATCTACTGTATTTATCTTTTAGGGTTGTTATAAAGATAAACTAAGAAAATATACATTAAAAGGGCTTTATAATCAGTTAATTGCTTTGGAAATATAAATTTGTATCATATGCCTCAATTTCAATGATTATAAAATGATGGAATTGAACCACATTAAGTTCCTAACCTTAGGTCAAACTCCCATTATGGTTCTTGAGAGTCTAGAGAAGGCTGAGGAAAGATGATCAGATAAAAGCCATGCTTTACAACTTCTTGGCTAAATAAGACTGAAGATGTGGGTATGAGCAGGAGTAGAGGTGGAGTGGTCCTTTGCTAAAGACGAGATATGAGACGTGAGACCAGCTTCTCAATGAGCATAGCGTCATCCATGACGGTGGTACCTTCTGTGCATTCCTCTCAGCAGCAGTAATTCCAGACACTAGGCTCTGGAAACAGTCCTTTTAGAATTCACGTATGCCATGAAAATTTATCTGCATCTAAATTGAGTGGTATATATCTTAACTTTTGAACACTATAGCTTGCCCTACTTGCATCTAATAAATCTTGCTCTATTAATCTGGCATTCCACCCTGGTCGTATCCTGACTTTAATTTTACTGCAAAGACTGGGTTCTGGTGCTCCTGGCATCGAACTCCAGCTCACACTGCTGATTTGGGTTTTATTAAATGGCCCAGAACTAATCACGGGCAGTGACTTCTGTCACTGCATGTCACGGTATGGCTAAAAAGGACCAACACCAAACTGGTACTATCTTATTTTCCACTGCAAAAGGCAGCTGCAATATCTCCAATATTATATTCTGACTGCATTCTCAGAGAGCTCAGGGTAATAAGGAAAAATGAAAACTAAAATTGAATATATAGCCTGAGATACAACAATAAAATAATGTAAATATAGAATAATCATTTTCTAGGTCATTGGTGGGGTATTAGATGTTGGTAAATACTGTGTTACTCTCACAAAGATCTCCATGATTTATTGGTATCTTATGATAAACTATCTTAATGGTTCTAATGTGTTTGAAGCTATGATGGTCATGTTTCCATAGCGATATCCTGAAAACTGAGCGGTTTTCTAAAATCCCTGTATGTTGGCTTGAGAATTCTGCTTCTATCATCACCAGCAGTCCCCCCATTGTCTCCCATCACCTTCTCTGTCACCATGATCATGGTAAATTTTTGAGTCTCCAGCTTAACTAAAATTCCTTGTAAGAATTAGATTTCCATTCATATATGTAATAATGCAATACTGATAATCTTTATTTTTTCCTCCCTCCCTTCCAAGTGTTAGGTGAGCATCAGCTTCCCAAATGTCCACCCACCCTTGAAAGGCAGGGAGCTTTTCACACTTTTCACTGTCTGCTACAACATCCCTGTCCAGACAGTTCTACTGTTGTCAGGGGGACCTCTAATAGAAATGAATACTAGAGATTCTTGGGCATAGCCTTAGGGTCAGGCACCAAATCCCATCAATGATGGTGTCTTTAAGCAGTGGGACAGTTCAGTTTTTATTCTCTCCTTCAAATTTACTGCGCGATTCAAAGAATATATCTTATTGCCTCCAAATTTAAACCAAAATTATTGGACCTCTTGACTGCCTACTTTACTAGCAGAAAATCATTATTCAGTTTCAGGAGGTACTCATACAAACAGCAGTGTTACAGATCAGCATTAACCTAAAGCTCTCATCAATGTTAACTTAATGTAATAAAAACATTTTCAGATTCCTGTGATTTGAATTAGAGAAGAAAGTATTAAGCCTCTAATTGCTTTAGACACTTTCTTCTGGGTCTTGAGGCGTGGATTCCCCTTAGATCAGAAGGATTTTTCACGCACGCTAGGTATGCAGATTGAGGGGTTGCACTGAGCAGCACTCACTTCCCTTCTGGTTTGTCAATGCCTGAAATGAGGAATTAGATTTGTATTAGCAGAATGGTGGGACAGCTGAGTATAGGTTTGCAACTTGACGAGCATCAGTTCGGATGCATCAGACTAAAATTTATAAGATATTTGTTATGTGGCAAGTTGCTTGATTTCGTTGAGCTTCCATTTCCATTTCTTCGTCTGTAAAAGATGGATCATAACACCTGACGACAAAATGAGGCAGATTATGGAAAGGGCTCAGCAAAGTGACTTGCATGTATTAAGCATTCAATGAGTGCTAGCTACTTTTAAGAACTCCTAATTCTTATTTGTGTGTTCAGGACTCACCTCCCCTTCCCTGGCACACAAGGAAAGATAGGAAAGCACACAGAGTCCCAGACACAAACCAGGATACTCCATAGTGAAAGCCAAGATAAGCGAAACATCAATAATGTCTTTGGGTTATACCAACAACCTGTCACACTGAGAAAGTGTCTCGAAACAAAAAAATAATAATGATATTTGATTTCAAAAAGTTCATGGGTCAAGAGATTTTTATAAGAAATCTCTTATCTATAAAATGGCGTTATCTAAATGACAACATTTGTGAAATAGCTTTTAGTTTCTGCCTCTGCAACTGCAATCTTGCTTTGGTTTATTTACATTTTTATTAATATATGCTTTAGTACATTTACATGGCCCCAAACCATGAGCAATAAATGAATTTTTAATCATGTGGTTGCTGCACTCTTATAACTAAATGGATTCAAACAGTATTTTACTTTTGTTTCTAACTCAGATGCTCTGGTTTGCACAAATCCTGGGTCTTGTGGGCCATGATTTCCAAAACCACATCTTCATTCCTTGCCAACTACTTTAACATCTCTAACACTTAGGAGATGCCCTTATTATAAATAGTATTTTGTGAGTTGTTAAAAAGAAACAAACGCACAAACAAAATCTTCTAATAGAATCCAAATAGTATAAGGGAACTAAACACATAGTGCCTGTACAACGTGCTCTTTAACTCTATCATTTAGATCGCCAACAAAATATTCATTTATCAGGGCACAGAACTAGGTACAGCAAACATACCGAGGCATGATGTTGGCCATGCATTCAAGGAAAATGTGTGACTTAGAAGACTGATTACTCAAAGACCCATTTCTCTCTATTCACCCACCCCCAGAAAACTAGTTCAACTAT